CTCTCTCTCTCTCTCTCTCTCTCTCTCTCTCTCTCTCTCTCTCTCTCTCTCTCTCTGTGTGTGTGTGTGTGTGTGTGTGTGTGTGTGTGTGAGTGATTAGTAACAGGTTGTGCGTACTGTTAGTCGCTCGTTGTGAGTGCCGGTTGCATGCCTTGCCAATTGAATGCTTCGAATTGATAATGGATATACGCTTTCAATTGATGTGCCTTGATTGATGTGCCTTGTTGGTAACGCTGCTCCCTATTTAGCAAAAGTGTGAACTGAAACTATGTGTGCGTGGAAAATGAACAGTGCTAGAAATTTGGGCTATTCAGCAAGAGTGTGAACTGAGACTGTGTCGATGCCTTTTACATACGTTGGGACTGTTTGTCGCTCGTTTTGGGTGCCGGTTGCATGCCTCGCCAATTGAATGCTCGGATGTAGGCTTTCGATTGATCTGCCTTGTTTGATGTGACTTGTGTCAAGATGGCCACCAAGGAACGAGTCCAGCCCGATCGAGTCGAACTGTCGCGCTGGCCCGCCACGTTCGAGTCGAACTCGATCGAGTCGCGATCTTCTGGGTCGCGCTGGCCCACCACGATCGAGTTGGCCCGTCAGGCTCCAGTCGAAAAAGATCGCCTGGACTTACGATCGAGTCGAACACGATCGCTGGGCTCACGATCGAGTCGAACACGATCGCCTGGACTCACGACCCAGTCGAACACGATCGCCTGGACTCACGATCGAGTCGAACACGATCGCCTGGACTCACGATCGCATGGACTCACGTTCGAGTCTAACACGATCGTGTTGGATACGATCGACACGCACACGATCGCCTGGACTTATGGTCGAGTTCAGGCGAACGCAGCAACCTCAATCGAGTCGAACACGATCGAGCTAGCCCGTCACGCTCGCGCCGAACAAGATCGTGTTGAGCACGGGTACGATCGCGATCGAATTGAACACGATCACGGTCGATTCGAACTGCATCTCCAGGGCTGCCTTGTCACGAAGGAGCTGCACTGCCTTACCACTATCTGAAACTTTTCTGCTCCTCGTGCCATGCCGACGTTGGGCGACCTTCTGATTTTTGGCTTTGCGGTGATGTGCTGTGTTGCTTTCAGATTCGGCATCACTGCAAAACATGGAAGGAGAGGGGAAGGCAAGTAAACGACGAGCAAGTAAGAATTCTGGGAGCATGGAACAATCTCCGAAAAAATCAAAGGGGGCACCGGCCGCTGGGGCTGGGAGTCAGGAGGCACCTGGGTCTAAGCGGCAACGCACCCCGGTTCCGAGGGGTGCACCTTCCACGGGCACTCCGTCGAGTCGTGTTCGGGGCTCTGGACCGGATAAGGCTGTGTTGATGACTGGCGGGCCTGCGGGTCAGGGACGTGTGCCTGGTCCACAGCAGGGAAGATCTGCAATGGAGGTTGTGCCCGGACGTAAAACATCTGGTGAACGTAAACCCTCTGGCGAACGTAAACCGTCTGGTGAAACGACTGCCACGGGTTGGCGAGACGATGTGCCTGTGGTTGATCACACGGACAGGTTCTGGATGCTGGACTGGGTGGGGGAGATCGGACAACCATCGAGTGACCTTGTTCTATACGTGGTCATCAAAGAAAATATTGTGCCGGTTGGCGGCCTGGTGAGGTGGACTGGACAAAATGCGCCGTCTGCAACGTTCGAGTTGACGATGGTCCCCAATGGAAGAGGGGAAAGAATACCGACTGTTAAACACGTCGCTCTTCGATGGGCCAAACACACGGGGTTTGGAAAGTCGCTGGTTGATGTGTTCAACCCACCAGGGACAGCGGAAGTGAAGTTGCCTGACCTCGTTGACGTCCTTGGGTTTTTCGAGAGTAATGTGATCGTGGACGAAGAGCCGGTTGTGCATCCAGAGGACCGCATATCGAAGCCTAAATGCATGCTTTCGAAAACCGTGGAGACAGGGCCTTCGATCACGATCCGCAATACACCGCCTGGTCCGAAAGCTGGGAAGATTGGAGAGAAGGGTCCGTGCCGCGGACTGGTCGTGCCGTCAGCCCCTATGAAGACCAGGCCAACGGCGACCAAAGCACCAGTTGCCTGGGCAGCCGACCGCGCTATGTTGCGGCCACCAAGGGACCTCTCCCCTTGGTGGGCCAGCAGCACTATGACTACACTGTGCCAAGCCGCGCAGAGGAAGCCCATGAGTATTTTGAAGATGAGGATGAAGAGAACAACGAGGAATATTCGGATCGAGTAGGAGGACAGGAACAATATGCTGCGGGTGTCGGCGGCATGACGAGGCATCCAGGAGAGACAAGTAAAGTGGTTGGACAGGATGAAGACAGTGAGCAGACTATGAGTGAATTGAGTGGAGAGGTTGGTCTGGGAGGAGGATATGGGAGCAGCTACGAAGGATGCGAAGGGGATGTGCATCCAATACGAGGGGGGGTGCACCACGCGACAGTGGTTGTGGCAGGGCATACAGATGCTGCAGGGCTCGCTGATCGAAAGAGGAAGCACAAGTAGGAGAGGAGAAGTCTTATGGATAGTAAACGGAGTAGGCAAGAAGCGGGTGAAAAAAGACAATTGAAAATATTGTCCGTGGATGAGGCGGTCCAGCGAACACGGGAGACTGAGGCAGCCACGAAAAAAAAGCAGCAGCCAAAGAAAAAAAAGGCAAAAGGTGGTGTTATGGAAAAAACTTCCGTTTTTCCAGCGGAACAACCACAATCGGATGAAGAGGCCAAAGGCAAGACAGTTACTCGGCCGCCTAGTTTGCGAAATGTACCATCGGTGACTTCTTCTGGTGTTCTCAGCAAAGGCTTCTTCCTTGAGTTGGACGAGCGTGGGAACCAGTGTCCAGACATGGAATTCATTTCTGTCCAGTTCGACAAAATTCTGGATATCGCCGACGGGGAATTCAGATACAATCAACGCTATCTTGTGCAGCAGATGATTGATGACATTTATGACGCAATGGTTGCATTGGGCGAGGCTGCTATCAGAGAGAGAACAACTGGAGCTGCCGGTGTGAATGTTTGTACATTGTATGAGAAGCCTGTCCTTTTGTTGGTTGCCCTCCGTGATACATTGCATATTGACGCTTCAGGAGGGTGCTGCCCGATGAATTCAACCTCGAATCTGTGAACAAGTACTACTACTACCCTCTAAGCGGTCAGCATAACGTGGCGGCGGCAAGAAGGTGTTTTGTTGAACGCCCTTACATCGCACAAGAGCTCCGATTGGATCGCTGGACTGCGAGGCATGTTTATTATCCGGATAAGAGCATGGACAATTACGGCACGCTGAGCACTTTCCAGAACGTCAAGGACAAATGGAATACCCCACCGCACCAGATCGTGGTCATCCAGAACATACGGAAGTTGTGGCATGAGTCGAACTGTCTTGAAGCTAAAGGCGGCTCAGCGACAGAAGTGAAAAATGCAGATTATAGAAAGTTTCCAGGAGAGGCTCTTCGTTTGACAGGGATTCATAATTTGGTTGACATGTCCCTTACTACTCAATGGAGCGGTCAGTGGTCTGACGCCCTCGGACCCTACATGTTGTTGGCAAGGGCGACAGATGACGTTTTCGAAAAGGTGAAACAAGTGTACGCCGCTTGGGAAGCTGGACAATTGTCGGGGAGAGATGTTGTGAAGCCTGCTACCAAACAAGGTGAATCAGGGAAGGCACCGAGGGCTGGACCCGGATTTGAGTTGAAAGGTGGAGTTAGGTATCCGGTTCACTGGGTTCAGGGTACCAAAGGACCGGGTTACCTCGTGGCTGTGTAAGATCCGAATATCAGAGCATGAAAGTTTTTTTCAGCGCTTGGGAGGCGTGAGCGGCTTCAACTGTTGCGAGACATTCTCACAGGCAATGTAATACTGACTCCTAAGCAAAGTGGAGTTGCTCAACGTACCGGGAAACATTCAACGGAGACATACGTGAAAATGGTGAAGATTGAAAGAGCAATGTTGAGGATGTTTCACTACTTCATCTTCATTTCTGACCCTCATAGGAAGTCGTCAGAGTGGACGGAACCATTCTTCAACAACCTTTCCGATTTGTTTAATAAGTACTGTGATGAAGGATTGACTTCCGAGAGGTGGATCGACCAGCATCGCCATTTCAAAGACATGAATTGGGTGCGAACGTTCCCGGCTACACTTGGAGGAGAGGAGGAAAAAGGAGAAGAGGGCTTCAAGACAACAGCATCACTTGCTGTGAAGTGCCCCGAAGAGTTCGTGCAGTTTCTCAACAAGTTGTTGCGCAGATCAGAAACCAGGGGTTCGGTCAGCATAAGAATGTCAGACACGGCGAAATATATACATTTCAAAAAATAGAACGTGAACTCTGTTTTCGTCCCGTTCCAATGGGAACCAAGCGATATTTCGAACGAGATGGATTCCAAGGAAATATATAGAGTCGTCAAACATCTGAGTTGTCACACGGTCATGCTGGATTTGTGTCACCCAACCCAGATGGGGGTGTGAACTGAAGAAGTCTTTGATGGTCTGCGGAAGTTCATGAGAAAACTGGCTGGTGATTATTGGACATTATTGTGCTTCGTTCCGCGGTCTTGCGAGTATACATTTTTCAAGAGAGTTACAAGTTGGGAGATTGACATTCACTTGTTTATTCTAAAGTGGACTCGTCAGCAACAAACGAAGGCGAAGCATTCATATAAGGTTGTGAACTTGCCTTTGGAGGACACAGACAGAACGGTTGTCATCATGTACTCCAACGATGAGGATTACCACCGCAACACTATTCCTTTGCTTGGAGACATTCCAGCAAGCACTCCAGTTGCAGATCGATCATCTGGCGAGCAGGCGGGTGACTTATCAGCACTTGTGCGCAGGGAGAGAAGGCCAAAGATGTTGGCTGATATCGTGGAGAAGAACTTCACGCCCACGAAGTTGAAAATTGTAGGTATGGAGCCAAGGGAGAAATTTGCGTACGAAGGTATGGAAAGGGAGTCAAATGCGATGGTGGAGACATTGGAGCATTTTTGTCCTGCGGATGACGCGGTTGTTTTCCTGGGAAAAGGTCATGCGGCATTGATTTGGGAGTTGTTAAAGAGTCACCGTCATTGCATTGTTATGGAAGGGGAGGGTATGAAGTTCGAGTTTCTCGTTGAATTCGTCACCAAGATGGTCAAGAGTGGAGTTTACTTCGCCATATTTGTTAAGCCGCCTCCTCGACATGATGAAAAGCGTGATCTCGTCTACAAAGTCGGCCAAAACATCGTCAATATTTGGGAGTTCCTTTTCGAGACTAAGCCACAAAACAGAGGGGCACGTGCATATGTCACCAGAAGGCGAAAAATGAAATCACTTCTGAGGGGGTATCATAAGGCACCGGCGGAGACGGAAGTTGCATTTCTAGACTGTTTGGAGATAATGTACTTCGACAAACACATCGGGGCGTTTACAATCGCAGCTTATGCAACTTGTTTTGGGGAAGGCTTCGATGCTGAGGACTCAGAGGAAGAAAGTGAAGATGGTACTTTGCAAGCGGCTTTGGCAGATGAGAGGCAAAATGCTTGTAGCTCGGCTTCGCAAAAGATGGGTGCGCCGGGCACATCGTCCGGTTCTGGGGGGGCTTCAAGTATGGCAGTTACAACGGACCAGTTTCAACGGACCAGTTACATGGCGGGCAACACAACAACGCTATCTTCCAACGCAGTTCGGGATGATTCGAGGATGCAGGCAATGCTCTCCCCAGAGGTTATGGCAAGTCTGTCAGAACTTGCACATAGCCCGGCTACTGTTTTGGAATTGCTACGCTCTCAAACTCCTCAACAACCTCCGTCTGAGCCTTTGGAGTACGAGATTGAAGACATCATCCCTCCGGACATTGCACGGCTTCCTGGACCTATTGTGTGCCGAGACGATTATACGGTGATGCCTTACAACGTATCGGGTCATCACATTATATGGCACCCCCACCACTTCCAACCTGCATTGGCGAGAGGGAACTGGGTAATGGCTATAAAAGAAGAAGGGGAGTGACAATATTACCTCCACAGACGTATGTCACAATCCAAGTTTGTCACACACGCCAGAAATCAGATTGGCAAGCGGCTATTGCGACTTAATCCGAAGGTTTCTCAATCAAGACTGGATGCAAGGACAGAAGAAATTTTTCAGGAGTTCAAGACATCTCGATGGCTTGAGTATCTGGAGGAGTTTTATGATCGAGAAACAAGTCCAACTTTTGGATATAATTGGCGTATCGAAGAGGAACTTTAAGACAAAGCTGGGGAAAGGAAAGGAGCGAGCGGCGATGAGAGAGGCAAGGGATCAGAATCAGGCGGCGGTGCGCTTGGCAAGGGAACAAGATCAAGCAGTGGTGAACATGGAAAGGGATCGGAACCACGAGGCGGTGCTAGTGGCAAGGGCCTGGGACCAAGCATTAGTGCAAGTGGAAAGCCGATAAGCCATGGTGAACTGCAAAAACACAAAATGTGTCAAGGGTGTCAAGCAACAGAGGGAAAGGTATCAAGACCAAGCGGCGGTGCACATGACAAGGGATCGGGATCGTCTCTGGGATCAGGACCAAGCAGCGGTGCACATTGCAGAGGATCGGGTTCGCCTCTGGGATTAGGACCAAGCGGCGGTGCACATGGCAGGGGATCGAGAGGCGATGCAAGTGGCCAGGATTTGGGAGCAAGCGGCGGTGCAAGCGTCAAAGGCGTAAGTCATGGAGAACTGTCGAAATGTGTCGAGGACATCCTTCCGGATGACCAAGTTTGGGCGACCACTGTGTTGGCGAGCGAGAGTGTTAATGCGCAAGTGGATAATACGGGTGCACTTGCAGAATTAGAGATGCCATCGTTGGATATGCCAGCTGAGAAAGATGAGCATGAAGTCTCTCTGGACATGAAGAATGAAAGCGCGACTGCAGGTGCAAAGGAAACTGTCAATGTACAGACCATCGAAGAGGATGAAGAACATATAGTACTAAGTACACGGGAGCAACATACGCTTGTACAACCTGAACTTATGGTTGCAAAATCAGAAGCACAACAGTCTGTTAACCTCGTGATATCTATCGACGAATCTCCTTTTACATCATCGCATGGTGCGATAGAAGGTCATGTTGAAGACAAAGCGTTAGTGAGCTACCGAGGTGAGCACGTACTTATCTCTAAGGGAATATCTAATACTGTATGCGGATTAGGGGTTACATGCACTCATCTCATAGGAACTAATTTTTTGTCTAGGTTCGCAATCGTGCGCTCGGTAATGAGAAGAAATGAAGTAGAATATTGTGTATCTCTTATTTGCAATTATGTAGAAAATTGAACTTAAACTTATAATGTTTTGTCTTGTCAATCATTGTCGTTTTATATTGCTGAACATGCAGGGCGACGAAAAGAAGTGTGGAAAACGACGCACGTACGTTCGCAAAGGCAGAGTGAGAAGAATATTATTCGTCGTGGTTTGCAAGCCTTATCGACTTTGCCGTTATTGCCTAAAAAAGAGAGAAGAAGACTTACACCCATGGCATTTCCATCTATGAAGCCAGCTGCCCTAAGGATGTTTAAAGCTGTTGGAATAAGCCTCAGAGAAGGGAAGAAATTGCATCGCGAAGGTTGCAGTTTATCTATAATGGATGGCAGCTCTGATAGCGAAACAGATAGACAACCAAAAAAATGAACTCAGGTCTATGTCGTACATCACATAACGAAAAGTTCGTTTTTGTATGAAGTCTTAGTCATTCCATTGTTGTTTATATGTGTGTTTGTATGCAGTTCATGACCCTTCGTTCCAGATTCCTTTAGCAACAAAACGCCTCACCGTAGAAGAAAAGGAGTATCTTGACATGATTACAGGCAGCAGCGAAGACAATGAAGCATACGGCATTGTCGATTACAAGGGAAGCTGGAAGGTGGGAAAGGAAGACATCATGGTCGTCGTCGATGATGGGAAATGGCTAAATGACGAAGTCGTCAATTTGTACCTGCTAGCCATCCAGATCACCAATGACCACATCAAGGTTGATTCGGCATGTACAGAAGTGACAAGAGATCATGACAACTCTTGTAGTGTTCCTTTTGTGTACATTTTGAATTCTTTTTTCTTCACTCGATTGTCAGGTCCTTCGAGGTTTGAAACCGCATATTCCAAGGGGATGAAAGGGGTGAAGGACACAAATCTTTTTGATTATGACTTAGTGATTATCCCTCTTCATTTTGGAAATCACTGGGCCTTAGCTTATGTCAGCATAGACGGTCCGAACTGTAAATTCCACCTCATAGACTCTCTCCCTCGTGTTGACTATGTTTCAGTCCTTGAACGTTTGGAAGATTTTTTCGAAGCGGAGTTTCATCGACACAATCTTCACGAAAGATATAATGTGCACGGTCCTACATCCTCCTTTGATACATTAGTAGATGAGATTCCTGCTCAAGAGGATCCTTGTAGTTGTGGTGTTTTTATGTTAGGTTTTGCATCTTTGCTTGCAAGAGGTCACTTCCCTCCATTTGCTTTTTCACAAGCCAATATTTCTGATATGAGGCTTAGAATAGCATTTGACATTTTGTCCATGGTTAGATAGGAAAGTCAATGAGGTGTGACCAAAGCTACAGTCCGTAGTTAATATTTTGTTGATGAGATTGACATGTTTACTGAGTGTAAACATTCGAGGTAAAAACTTGACATTGTATTATATTTTGAGCACAAGCAACACGGGAACATGACTGTCACATTAATTTTTCCTTCAACTTTTCATATATGAGCATTGTTTTGTCGTTCCTTCAACTTTGCATTGCTAAGCTTTGATATATGAACATTGTTTCGTCCTTATTTTGCTTTGTCGTTATTTCGATTTGTTGTTATTTTGCTTTGTCTTTATTTTGCGTTGTCGTTATTTCGTCTATAATTTCCTCATCTCGTTCTGCCATTTTACAGTTAAAAAAAAAAGTGAATATGAAAACAATTTCACTTATAACGAAAACACCGTTTTAAAGACTTAGGCAGTCCGAAATCTCTGACCCAATTTTCTTTGAACAACTTGATCACATACTCAGTTTTAGTTGTTGCAGACATTGTGACTAACCTAGCATACTTACTAAATCTATCCACGATGACATAGACGTAGCACATACCACTCTTGTTGGTAACCAGCGTATCCATGAAGTCCATGGATAGACTCTCTCCAGGCCTTTCCGGAATCGGAAGTGGCTTTAAAAGCCCAAGCGGAGGCTGTGTACGTGGCTTGTCCCTCTGACAGACCTGACAAGTCTCCACGTAAAGCTTTTCGTCACTCATCATCGTGGGCCACCAGAACTGCTACAACAGATTGGCTACCGTCTTTTTGGAGCCAAAATGTCCAGTGGCATCATGACACTTGCCTAAAAATAAACTACGCAAAGACTCTCTATCTGGCACACAGAAACATTTATTCCTTGCCTTCTCAAGGAACAACAGTCCGTTGAGTCGTTGACCAACTCAAACTCGACAGAAGTCACCTTGTCCTTCGCCTCGAGTATGTGTATGATCTCAGACATGAATTGGTCCTCGCGATAAACTTCCACCAAGGAGCGAGTGACATCGTCCGCGAGCTCGAACTCTGTAATCAATGCACCAGAGAAATCAGGTATGCGCGATAAGGCATCAACAACTTTGTTGTACTCCCCTTTCAGATACTGCGGTTCAAAGTCATACTGTTCAACGACTTCGATCCAGCGCTTCAATGCATCGGAGAGCACTGGTTGGGTTCTCATCCACTTTAGGGTCTGATGATCAATCCTGACGATGAAGAGACTCCCAAGGAGGTAATGTCTCCAATGGGTCAGTGCCTTGTAAATCGCGTAGAGTTCTTTCTCATAAGTGGACTTAGCCAACTTATGAGACGACATCTTCTTGGGCATGTACTCAACTCGCCTCAACTTTGGCCCCTCATGCTGCACGAGGCTACGAGCACGGCGCCTATGCCATATTTGCTAGCATTCATAGTTACTATAAACGGTTTGTCAGGATCAGGAAGTTTCAAGACCTCATGGTGCATCAATGCATGCTTCAGATGTCTGAACGCAGCCTCACACTTGTCTGTCCACTCCCATGGGATGTCAAGGCGCGTCAGGTCAGTCAAATGGGAGACCACCATGCTATAGTTCTTTACAAAATTGCGGTAGTAGCAGGTCATCCCTAAGAAAGACCTCATCTCAGTCACAGACTGAGGACGCGGCCAGTCACGAATGCTGGCCACCTTCACGTCATCGGGCTTTAATCCCTCCGCGGAAATCTCATGACCCAAGTACAAGATACGAGTGCGGCCAAACTCGCACTTCTCACCGTTGATCTTGAACTTGTGTTGTTGAAGGAGACTAAGCACTTTGTCCAAATGAGCTACGTGCTCTTCGACGGTCTTACTAAAGATAAGTATGTCATCGAGGTACACGATGACAAACTTGTCTAAGTAGTCATGAAAGATCCGATTCATCATGTGGTGAAAGGTACAAGGAGCATTGCAAAGGCCGAAAGGCATCACCACAAACTCGTACAGACCGTACCTGGTCTGAGATGCGGTTTTGTGTTGATCCTCGGGCCGTATAGCAATCTGATGGTAGTCGGACTTCAGATCTATCTTACTTAAGTACTGACACCCTTGCACTCAATCTAACAAGTCATCGATGCATGGTAGGGACTCTCTGTTCTTGACAGTGATGGCATTGAGCCCCCTATAATCAATGCACATCCTCATAGTGCCTTCCTTCTTTGGTACAAATAAGACTGGAGAATCATAAGGAGAGACACTCGGCCGAATCCAACCCTTCTCTACGAGTTCCTTAAGTTGCCGGCGAAACTCATCAAGCTCGCCTGGAGACAACCGATAGATCCTACCTTTTGGGATGTTAGACCCTGGGATACATTTTATCGTGTGGACGACCTCCCTCTCAACCCCTGTTGGCTCTTCAAATAGATCAGGGTACTTGGCAACTACTCCCTCTATCTCCGGCGGCATTTTCACCGGCTCGCCTGCCGCAGAGACATAAACTAGATACATACCCTCCTCTGGATTTTGCTTATAATAATTATAGAACGCGGCCACACACATGCATCCGTAGGACTCAATCAGACTACTAGCCTTGAACTTACGTAATCTGGCGGTCCCTCCATCCGACAAAGTGTGTTTGACCACTTTTCGGTCCCACTCAAACTGGGGTGGTGCTATGGAGAGGTAGTACATACCTAACAAGATATCCATGGGGAAATCATCGCTCACTAGGAACGAAACATGATGTCTCAGTTCCCCTCCCGCGTATGGGAAACAACACTCAACATTCTGGAGGTAGTCATTAACTACCATGCGTTGTTTGTTGGCACAGGTCAACTCCACAAGTCTACTCAGGCGCTGCACGCGCCCCTGTAAGTGCAGCCTCTCAACGCACGCGCGACTGATGAAGTTCCTTGTCGAGCAAGTGTCATAATAGGCCCCGGCCTTGCGGCCGCTAATGACTACCTCACTAACGAACATCTCTCCCTTAGGGGCTTTAGCCATTGCCGTCCAAGAAGCTAGTGACTCTAATCTAGACCACTCCTCTAGTTCCTCTAAGGACTCAAACACATTCATCGAGCAGAGGCTCGATGAGTTTGAATGTGTTTGTGGGACGACGATGGAGTCAGTAGTTTGGGCCATCTCTCGAGATGGTGAGGGTGTGTCCACCACCTCAACCCCAACAGAAACAACTATTAAGCCTACTGGCCCGACGCGTTTCCCAGAGCAGTGTCAGAACTGCTGGCCAAGTTGCTACCAACGGGAGCGGAGGATCCCAATGCCTGGCCCATCGTAGGAGGGATCTTCTCGGTCACCTTTTTGTTACGACACTTGAATTGATTATGGTCATATTGGCCACAATGAATACAAGCCTGCCGAGTGTACCGGTCTCTCCACACATCCTCTGTTAGACCCGCTTTCTCCCATGGAGGAGCATTGGGGTCAACTTGACTCCTAGACCGGGAACCTCCACGGCGTCTACCGGTCTCCTTACCTTTTTGAGCTACGACAACGACTACTCTACCCCCTGAAGCTTTTATGTTGCCGGCCTCTGAACCCACTCCCGACTGGAAGTCGACTGGAAGTCGTCGTCCAATTCGATGGTGGAACCATCGTTGTCGACGAACATGATGTATCCCTTCGCTTTCCAGTTGGGAGGCAGTGACTTTTTCCTACCATTCGTCGTGGGTGTCTGACCATGCCCTATCTTTGCTTAAAGGTCAAGGCCTTCTTGCTAAACGAGGGGAAGTTGTGCATATTGATGTTGGCTTCACCTGCCAACTGATTCCTGAGAGGCATACGGAAGCATCTCAAGTAGGAGGTGAGTAAAAATTGGGGGTCATAGAGCACCTTAAGGACACATATCAGACGCTCTACTGCGTCAGTGGCCTTTCTTACTTACTTAAACGGCCTGGTATGCAGTGTCAGGATCGCGTCAGTAGCCTTTTGGGCCTCTTGAGGATCATGCCACCTATCTTCCACCAACTTGGAGAAAGTCATCCAGTTTCTGGGTGACCGCCCAAGCGCGAAAGTCAGACCGTACCATGTAAGTTGTAGTTGCACTAAACCACTCAACCATCTTGTTGCACTTCTCTCTAGATAGGAGGCAGCCACAAGCCACGTGACACCGTCAGCCGCGGATCCTGCGGCCGAGGCCGAGGCCGAGGAGGCTGGCCACGGGCCCGCGGCCGAGTCTGCGCGTGGCGTGGCGCGCGCTCGGCCTGCCCACGTCGGCCGCTATCGGCCTGCATAAAAAAAAA